GCCCCTTACTATACCTAATTAGAGGGTTATTTCAAAATTTTTGGAGGATTTGTATAGGTTATTTTAGCTTTTTGTCATTGAACGGGTATAATTATTGGTTCTAGTATGAAAATGTCACCAGTTCATGCTCTTATATCAATAAAGGCACAAATAATTTTCATCAAAAGCTATTTGCTGCACAGTATTTCGATTACCACATAAGATTAAAAATAAAACAAAAATATTAATAAAAAGACTTATCACCCGAATTTGTAGAACTTTTAATGGAAACACTGATGGATGATCCTAAAAATAATGTGTTAAAATTTCATATAAATCCATCCATATATTAAAAAAAAAAACCCAGCAGGGCAATCTTATGAGGATCAGAAAGCTCGATGCACAAGTCTCTTACCACTCTGGGATGCACCTGTCAGGGCCAGGGCTCTTATGAACCTTTAGTATTTGACAGTCTATTTCTTATACCCTCTTCTAAGAACAATGTGGGTCAGTGCCATGTCAAACTGTCTTTCCTCGAAAACAGGAAGACTGTCCTCATCCTCTTGTGAACACCGAGGAAAAAATTTTGTTTAAAGACTCTGCCCTATTCTAATCCAAGTCTGCGTAGCTATTATCTTTAAGCCTCAGATCCAACACGTCCACCTGTGTTTTCAATTTCGATGTTGCATAACCATAGGCCTTTAGATTTGACTTTGCTTTGTTTGCAATCTGCCTCTTGAAATCTTTTTCAGTCTTTCTGCACTCTTAGATTGGTTCCTGGACCTGACTTACATCCTCCTGTCCTGCTCGTTATTTGTCCTTAACCCACCCCTTCAATTTCTGGGGGGTTTTCTAAATTTTGTCAACCACCGCATTGTTCATGTGTAACGTTCTCCTTGTATTCCTAGAGCCAATGAGTTTGGTCTTGGGTATATATCTATCAATCAAATAGTTCACTTCACTGGCTATGCTTCAGTCACAGAACTTATGCCTCAGTCACACCACCCAAGCTTCAATCACACCACTCAAGCTTCAGTCACACCACCCTGTAGAGAGGGGGGGGGGGGATGATTTTATTGTTCTCAAATTTTCTTACCTTTCTAGGTTTATTTTCTTATATTCTGATGGGCATATCTAGGAAACCCAATTTTACTGTACAATATTAAACATTATTTCCAGGACTTCCTGAACGGTAATGACTGCCACCACCCAGATTTGTCAGAATATAATATCACATTAACCTCTTAAATACTTTAGTGGTATGGCCTGAGGATTCTGTTACTGTTTGGTAATGCTGAGTGATAACAGCAATATACTTACAAGATTATTTATTAATATGAAATTTGGTATATGGATACTTTCAAATGGAATACCCAAAATGAAAGAACCATCCACTTGGGTTCTGTCAGTTACTTAACACTTAGTTGAATCTTTCAACACAATCAATAACTGGCTAAACTTATCATGTAAGAAAGTAACATAGCCCATAACTTCACTATACTCCACAGCTTATACAGTATTTAGTTTTTTACCTTCAACACACTGAATCAGCAATTACAAATTAAAGGAACTCCCACTTGGGTTCAATCTATGCTTAATAAACACTACTTTAACACTTGTACAAAAATAATCACCATTCGGTCTTACTTTGTCATTAGAAAAATAAGCACCTTTAATTAACACTTGTAATACTTCAGTACTCTAGGAAAATAACAGCTCAATGATAATACTCTATTACAGTGACCCAAGCATATAGTGGTCACTCCAAGCACCTTCAAGTAACATTCACAATTGTACTACTATTGATAGCACTTTGGCTGTAGATCACACTGGTAACTTACTACCTAGCACCAACAATTAGGCGTGCACAACACAAAACCCCAGCCATTAACACAGTTGATTCACTACTTAACACCCATAACAAACACAGGTCAAATCTGTGCTAGTTACTGGTCTTAATACGATGCCCATTACTGAAACAATACTTATATCGGCCAAACACAGTCTTGGGGTTCACACACAAGTCCACCTGATGTAACACACTCCCTGATCTTAGCAGGACTCCCTCATAGCTTCAACTTGATTTCTAACATCCTGTCTACAGCCTGGCTACCTCCCCAAGGTCGACACACAGTGCTTGTTACACAGAGGAACACGGGTAAGAGTGCATCTCTAGCCCCGCATTCGTGAGTGTATTCGTCTATCAGACAGGGTACATAGGTTGGATTTTAAAGACAGCTTACCCATCTCAGATATACATCATAGCATTGCTTAAGTTTGATGTGTATAATCTAATCAATATCTGATCTCTCACGGGTGCACATTAAATAATCACAAAATACACAAAGTGGATATTGTTTTTTAATGACTCTTCCTGTCAAGAACTACTGGGGTGAACATTACTCTCCGAGATTAATGGACTTTGGTTAATTTCAACATAACAGAATCTTCAATGTATTCATGTGGTTCTCTGATATTCACAGGTTACATAACTTTACTTACCATACAAAGAAAAGACGGTACAGTATATGGTTACAGATGCAAAACAAGTAGGCCCGATTCTCTGGGGCACAAGATCTGATCACTTTACACAATAGCGAGACAAAGCTTTCAACATGTACTCAAATCATGAATGCCTCAGTTATATGTTGGTATATACAGTATGTTTTAATGGTAAACATATTGGTTCAGGTAAATCATATCTTAGGATTAACAAACAATGACGGCATCTTATTTTGTTTTCTCCGATACGAGTATTAGAGCAAACTACCGCACGTATGACTCACAAACATATGGTGTTTCATGGACGAATGAGCGGAATATGAATGAGTATGGGTGTTAATAAAATATAGGTACAGTACAGTAGTACTGTGACCAAGACAACCCATGCCTCAGTTACACCACCCATGGACTGTATGAATTTTATTTTAAGGCCAACAAGCTGGCAACCCAGGTGGCCCTAGAGTACCAAGAGATGTTGGTGAAGTTCCAAGAAAGTTCACCGAGATAGGACATCTGTCAAGGAAAAAGCAACTCGAGGCCTTTATTTACACTTTTTACAGTACAGTACCAATTTTTCCATAAACTTAACAAAACTATTACTGTATATTTCACACTAAAATTACAACTAATCTTAAAATAGAAAATATATGTACAATTTGCATTCAAAACTTCATAAACACAACTAAAGGATTAAAAAAACTAGTACCTGTAGCATATTCTATAATAAAAAAAATATTATGTAAAGTACAAATAATTATAATTGGCTGTGGGTCAGTACAGTCTACATGACCTCTTTCTCCACCCTAAAAAGGTGTCAAATTCCTTGCATAGCTTCAAAATTTCACATTGAGGAAATTTGTAGAACCTCAACAATAGTTCAACACTTACGTTAAGAGGGTCCAAAGCAAAGACTATATACGAAAGATAGGAAAGCTTGAGCTTTTGGGTGTGCGTGCTCTAAGGGCCCCCGAGGCAGATGGCGTTGGTATCGGTGAGAACGTCGTCGGTTTGTTTACCGAATGTCAACTTCGGTGGCGCCAAGTTGGTACACAGCAGCCATGCCTCAACCGTGTTTACTGTGCGGAAAATCCAAAGAAATTCGTCCTAGTTTTATATTTCATCCATTCCCTCGACAACAGGAACATTCGAGTGTATATATAATGCATAATTTAACACAGTATATGAATGTTGGGGTGTGGTTTGGCAACACTGTATCGGTCCCAACAGACGCGGTTCTCAGTTCCAGCTCAGACGTCTCGGTGTGAGGACTGCCCCCCCACCCCCATCTTGATTTCCCAGTTCTTGGCAGGAGCAACTGTGAGATGGACCTCCTCATTATTGAAGCCTGGTATCAGTATAAAGTAAAGCCATCCATTTGTGATATGGCTTCCTGCGAATTGTGTTTTTCACACTAAGGATCATCTAAATTAAGGTAATACTGTACCCCATATATTTTAGTCGTTTTTTTTTCTGAATTTAGTGTTGTACGTAGGTCTCATTTTTATTGGTTTTAAATTATAATGGCACTTTTCTTTTTTGCAGAAGGTAAATTTTGGTATATTGTTACGTTTTTATTGTATGTCACCTGTATTTTATTTATTTATTTTTTTTTTCTAGGCTCTGATGATGGAAAATAATTTTCCAAAACATTAGCAATTAAAGAAACCCAACTTAGTCGAGATGTTTGTTTTCTCCCTGGTTCTTACAGTAATGAAGACAAGTGGAATTGAAGGAAGTATTGGACAGACAGCTGATCAGGGTTTGTTGAGGTACTGTAGTATGGACAGAGAAAATGGAAGTTATAAAAAAAATAATTTAGAGGTAGATGTGAAGGATGAGGTGAAGGATGTACTAGAAGTGAAGTGGATGGATATACAGGAAGCAGCGGTGTGTTAACTGATGGAAAACATGGTACAGTATTGAGTGGTTTATGGGGAAATACCTGTTACTGTTAGGTGATAATACCCAGTGTGAAGTGACGGGGAACACCATAAACGGACACATCTGTTTTATATGCCAGGGTGGATACAAAAGAGGACATTTATATTTGCTATTGGTTCTTGCCACCATAAATTATCATGGTAAAATACTTACATGGGGAAATTATATCTGACTAATGAACTAAGAAAAATTTGAAAAAAAAAATCTATTTCAAACTTAACTCCTGTACATTTTCCAAACAATGATCTTCATCCCTAAAAAAATTTGATGTTTATGGACTTCTTTCTTCTTCATGATAAAGTACTTACAATTACCCAGTCATAAAAATGGTTCTAGGCACAAATCCATTCATTTCAGCTTTGGGGCTAGCGATCTCATTAATTTTCTGGAAATTTCTATCACCAATTTTGGGGGAAGTCAAATAATAACCAATTTTAAAAGCCACCAATTCACTCACATGCATAATTGGAATGTCAATAACCTTCATTCCCTACTACTAGTACTAAGAAAACTGATGCTAACTTGTGACTCCCATCTCACAACACCAGCGGAGGACAAGGGTTATCAAAACTGCCAAATTGGAGATGTTACGATCTTTATTGCTCAACAACAGAACAATTGTGGAATATCCACCATTTACCAAGATGGACCCAATTTATATTAAGAAGGTTAGCCTGCCACCCAACACTGATAAGTCAGAGCTGCCACGCGTTGAAACTTGGGCGTTTGGGCAAAAATTTTTATGTGAATTTGGTTAAACATGGGTAATTTATACAACATACATTCATTCAGAGCTGGGACTTACACTTTCATTGGAAATTAAAAATCAAGTTAAAATAACTGTCACACAACACAAGCATGATCATCTTATTCTCACTTGGGCATCTGGGGTTATCTATTACATAGCCACAACCAATAACAGGGCAAGCTGGAAATTGCAATTTGCATATATATATATATATATATATATATATATATATATATATATATATATATATATATATATATATATATATATATATATATATATATATATATATATATATATAATAAAACACACTAGCATCACTATCTATCACGTTGGGTAGCAGGTGTTGGTAGAGTCGATTGCACGAAATATAACTATATCTTCTGCATATAAGACTATTTACATTAAATCTAAACAAAGGAACTGCAACAGGACTACTAGTTATGTCTGCTATGCACTGCAACATTCCGCAGGATTAATCACATTTACACAATAATAACCATCAACAATTCCTTAAAATAGATGTTCTTTGTTGTATAACCACAAGATAAGGAAATTATAATACAACACCTGTATCATTTACCTCGTTACCAAGTGTAGGCTCAACGACAGTCTCGACCATTTTACAATAATTTCAGATAATTTACAACAATCAAATTTTACAGTTACAACAACTTTCCTGACAACACATACATAATAATTTAAATAATACATATGAAAGGTGTTAAGAAAAAACCTCAATATTCCTTGAATGGGTATTTGATGTCCAGCCCACCCAGGTGTGGTGTGAGGTGAGGTTCTACTAGTCCTTCAGCAGCTCGAAGTGCACTAGACCAAGACGATTCTGGCGATCATGCTTGATGTTCTTGGCCCAAGCACGGCATTCAATGTTAATGAGAACATTAGCTGTAAAGTTCAAATTACGTATTTTAGATAAAGGAAAGGCAGTCAATGTTAACAGTATAAATTTTGGTTATAAAATACAAAAAATCAAGATATGGGAATCGCTCTTATATTGACGACGAGAAAATCGACTGCAGAATAAAATGAATACACGAGAGAAAGGCATACAGGACTTATGACACTTATATCTAGTAGATTTTATGCATGTGGAAGAGTGTTATGTGATGGGAGACAAGAAACCGCTGTAAATCAGTGAAGTTACATAACACAGCAGCTATAAGATAAGTAAGATAAACTGGAAGCAAGATATTTTAATGTGTTGGGTTCATGAATTTTTACCAAACATGACAAGGGCAAATTCTTAAGTCATAGCGGTGTTGGAGAAAGGAAGGAAGAAAGAAAAACTGGGAGTGATACATAGCTAAGTTCACATTTTCAAAATAGCTGAACACACAAACTTAAGGGTGAAAAAATTGAGTCCAATGATGGCTCTCATCATGGCTCTAGATCTGAAGAGAGATACATTATGGGTGTAGTTGTATTACTGTACTTGGTTTATTTTTTGTGGTTAAATGTGAAAAGATGGTGATGTAAGGGTGATCTAGCACCCTGGCTTAAGTGTGGGGGTAAAGCAAAGAATTGCATAAGTGAGCAAATCATAAGCATGGTACTGGGAATGTTCATAATCCCTTACAAATCTGGGCTAGGGGTTTCATACTACAGTATTAAGGGTTACAAATAACATTTGAGTTCAAGTGTGGACAGGAACCGATTCTGAAAATCTATTGGGTGGCTCTTTAAGACATAATGCAAAATGAAGCTATGACAATTAAAAGGGTAAAGAGCGAGTGCTATAATATGATGATAAAAGAACGGTAGCCATGTCAAGTGTATAATCTGCTGGTTCAGAAACTAAACTTGACAAAAGGTACATTTACTGGGAACAAGTTATGTATCTGGAGGTAACATGCATAAGCATACCACTCAAACTTACTAATTTTTCCAGTTAAATTATACACAGTAATGAAATATATCAGAGTATAACTGAACAGTCTTTTAGCTATTTTACAAAAAATTAAAACTCGACCTGGCAAACTAGTGCATATTTTAAACGGTTGATGTTAACAGTAAAAAACTGAGGTGACTTACACATAGGCTGGTCAAACTGAACTGCTACAATAGGAGGAAGATAACCAGGAGTGTGCAAGTATGGGAAAAAGTATGCTGGGAACCCTTGCCATGGGGAGTAGCGGATGGGGCCAATGTATTCCTGGTCAGCTGGGTTCTCTCCCTGACATGACACCCAGATCATCTGTTACAATTGAAAGAATGAATTAATGAGATTGACTTTTAAACACATTCAGCAAATAAATATAAAGAGTACTGCAGTACACACGCCTGTTGCCATACTCGACTCCTGACTTAAGTTGTTGTCATACAGTCCCCCTAACTGTTGCAATACTGTAGATATGTTCAGTAATGGTACTATCCTTACATAATAAAGCCCCAGAATCCAAATGAATTAACCCAGTTGCTTCACACACACAATGCTTGTACAATATGTGGAGTCTTGTAATTAAAAGGCACTACATCATTTACTACAGTGTGAGAGATTAAAGAAAGCCAGTAATGAGTCTATTTCTTGAATTTAAGCAGCCTACATTAAAATGTAAAAATTAAGTTCTCTTCAACTCACTTTACAATGCCCTCAAAATGGTGAATATATTCATAAACACTGCTGGATTAAAAAAAATTTTGAAGATAATGAAATACTATTTTCTTGCAGAATATAAAATAATTTACACAGTTCATTAATTTTAGTGAAAGCTGGTTTTATATATTATTTTACTTACTATTATAAACTAAAGCAGATATAACAAGTCTGTTGATAATTTTATATTGGTTCTTTTACTGAAAACAAAGTACCTGTACTGTACAATAATGTATCTTGATTCTGAAAAGTGAAAAATTATTGTCACCCAAACATTCTAACTGTAAGACACTTGATATGAACTGAGCTGTGATATTGAAGCTGTACCTTTGGGATTTTACCCTGGTTACTATCCATTTTCTCTCGAATGTGATCCTTCAGTGACTTGGGCATCCCCTCTGGCAGTTCCTCCATGGTCTCGTACACATCTGGCACCCACTTAATCATCTGTAATATATTTCAAATAAAAGATCCACCGTTTACATTTGAAGGGCGCCACACACATAATTCTGGGCAATTTTGCAAATAAATGACATTTACACACCTTTATCACATATGCTGTACTCACATAAAATGCCAATTTGGGTCTGAAAATCTGGGGCTTGCCTTAAACTCAAAATAATTGGTTTAGATGAAAGTTTGGTAAAATGTAAACATGGAAGAAAAAAAAATCAACATTACTGTGAAACAAATTCACACCAATTTAGGTAAGGGCAGTCAAATAATAATCATCCAAGAATTCAGTTCACTGATGACAGAACAGAATTATCATTGAATTAACATTCAGTACCAGACCACTGACAAGTGTCAATTGCAGGGAGTGACCTCTGGAGTTACGGTACAAAGGAACTACTGGAGGATGTATGCCAGATCCAGGAACCAAGCAAAGTCAGAGTGTAGAAGAGCTGAAAAAGAGTTCCAGAGGCAGATTGCTAGCGACGTCAAGTCAAACCCAAAGGCTTTTTACCGCTACGCAAAGTCGAAATTAAAAACGCGAGTAAGCATATCGGACCTGAGGCTTGAAGATGGTAGTTATGCAGATTCTGACCGGGATAAAACAAAGGTGTAGAACAATTTTTTTCATCGGTGTTCACAAGAAAGGATGCAAACAGTCATCTTGCATTTGAGGACAGACGGTTTGACACGGAGCTGACCCACATTGTGTTCTCGGACGAGGTTATACGAAATAAACTGTTAAAGTTAAAGATTCACAAGAGTCCTGGCCCAGATATGGTACACCCCAGAGTGTTAAGAGAACTGTGTAACGAGCTTGCAGAGCCCCTGAAGATCCTGTCCTGCAAATGCCTGGAGGAGCAAAAGGTCCCCAATGACTGGAAGATGGCTTATGCGAGTCCTATATTCAAGAAGGGCGATCGACACTCCACGAATAACTTTTGACCAGTGAGCCTGACCAGCATTGTGTGCAAAGTATTAGAGAGCATCATAAGAGATGACATGATGGAATGCCAACATGGTTTTATGCCAGGAAGATCCTGTTGAAAACAATTACTCAAGGTACTAGATGTTTGGACTCAAATTCTAGAACAACGCAGAAATATCGACATATATACCTAGATTTTGCAAAGGCTTTCGACAGTGTACCCCATGAAAGGCTGAGAATTAAAATGGAAGGGTACGGGATTCGAGGAAGTCTCCTAGCATGGATCAGAGACTTTCTGCATGATGGCAAACAGTGTGTGGTGATGAATGGAACAAAATCATCACGTGTACGTGTGACTACGAAGTACCACAGGGCAGCGTATTAGACCCTTTTGTTGTTCGTCTGTTTTATTAATGACATGCCAGAAGCTATACACTCCTCTACACAAATGTTTGAGGATGATGCCAAGTTATTTAAGGAAATTAAGAACCACAGACTGTGAAGAGCTGCAAAAAGATCTCTCCAATCTTCAAGAATGGTTGAGGAAATGGCTGCTAAGATGCACTGTATCAAAGTGCAAAAGGATGCACCCGGGCTGCACCAATAGTAAGGAGGTGTATCACATGTCCCAAATGGACGAAGAGACTGCATTATTCGAGACCGAATTTAAAAAGAATCTGGGTGTGTATGTTGACAGTGAACTGAAGTTCTCGGGCCATTATGAGAAGGTGAATCGGGCAACAAAACTAGTAGGTCTTAAAAGAAGGTCGTTTAGATATATGGATGGCCCGTCACTCGTCACGATCTTCAAGAGTGAAGTGCTTCCCCATCTGGAGTGTTGTCATCCCGTCTGGTCCCCGAGGTATGGTAGAGACTGTCAATTGATTGAAAATATCCAAAGGAAGGACACCAGATAGGTGCCTGGTCTACAGAACCTCAGTTACCTAGAGATTGGAGCACCTGCAACTACCTAGCTTATACTACAGACGTGAGAGGGGCGACCTAACCGAAGCGTATAAACATCTCGGGGAGGGGGGGGGGGCTACTCGGTTGAATGTACATACCTGGAGCTGCTGGGCGAAGGTCACAGCTCAAGGCTGAAGAAGCCACAAGTCCAGAAAATTGTGAGGGCAAATTTTTGAGGAGTGAAAATTGTGAGCTCATTCAAGACCAGACTTGACCAACACCGAAGCAGGTTCCGATATATTCAGGAGTCAGTACATGCCCAGTATCTAGCAACAGTGCGTACCAGAGACATGACCGACCGCCCAAGTGGATAACGAGCCAATCAGTAGTGAAGAGGATAAAAGAAAGTAAAAGTAGGGTCTGGAATTGTACCACATTACACAATAGACATTTCATTGTCTATACAGAAGAAACTGATCAGAAGGGAACATTTTAATGCAAGTTTTAGAAACCATCAAAGGACATCAGTAAACTACAATTAAAATAATTTTGTTGCAAAGAATTGCCAGCTGCAACTTCTTCTGGCAAACTATTCCATTACTGTATTAGAATTGACCCTATGAACCTATATTTCTTAACTTCTTAAGAAATATTCTTTCAGCAATATCTCTTACATCTTAGTAATTATTTAGAAATAATTCCTACAATCAATTTTCTGATATTCAGGTAATTATCAATTAATTGTTTATTATTTTTTCTCCCTGTAAATAAATGTGCCGGAATTTGTAGAGAAAAGATTTTTCAGGTCACCTTATTAAGCTTGAGGAGGATGCAAGGAGACTCGCGATTGTAGCCCCAACTCTCAGACTTCTTGCACTTGTCAGTCAGCCATTTATCCTGGAAGGGGCACACAGTTCCTTCTTCTGGCACTTTACCACTGGTGCAGTCTGTCACATGCTGGCCTGAGATCTGGTCACTGTTGCCCTCGTAAGCTGAGGAACAGTCAAACATATCACTGCAAGGCTTAATGTGGAAAATCTATAGCCAGACAAATGACCATTATTAAACTTTTCTACAATAATGAACATTATGCAACTTACGTTTGATGAAATCATTAAGGGATTCAACCCAATGCTTGATGTCATCATTGTCACCATTTTTGTACCAAATTAATGTCGATTCTACATTCTTTTGCCGTGGCAGAGGTCTGAAACCCATGGCTGAAAAACAAAAAACAATCAACAATTTACTTAAGGATAAAAATATTAAATATTTGTAAAGTTAAGTATGTGATAACTAGAATTATGAATACTAATATGCTAGACCCAAGCAACACTACAACTAACAACAGTGAGAAATTTTTAAAAATTAATGAGCAGAAAGTATGAATGAGCACACTTTTGCACTCTCCACTATATGACTTATCACTATAATGCTCTTATTATGTTTGGGTCTTCATTTGATCAAATCAAAGTCATCATTCAGGTTTCCTGGCACAGCCAAGAATCTACATATCAAGAGCCAAGAGGTGAAGAATCATATCCCATTTGATGCTGTCAGTCATGTATATAATTGCATAAAACAACTTTGGTTGTTGGCATCTTTTCATAGAGGACTTGTAAAAAATTGCCTTGTTGGTGTAGCTCCTCTCCACATGAAGGGAGCCGACAGGCCTCGAGTAATAAAAGTTGAAGGGGAGTCGTGAACACAAAAGGTCCTGAAATAAATTCTCACCTGGGTTCCGAAGGAGGGATCCACCATCACCAGGGGTGTACTTGGGGAGATGGTTGGTGTCTAGTGTTTGGTAGAAGACAGCCATCATGATGGCAAAGAAGCCAGCCAGGCATGCATAGAAGATAATGTAGAACACTCCAATCTTAACTGTAAGAGAAAAAAAAATTTTAAGACACAGAATAAAGCTTACATTAATAATGCAACATCATTAAGTCAAAAGTATAACTTGCACAAAATCAAAAGGCTACAAATACATATGCCTTACAGAGATAAGAGGTACTGCACTGATAGATATATACACTGTACTATACTGTATATCAGAGAAGTTACAGAATGTATAGGATAACACTACAGAGGCCCAGTTTCATTTTCTGAGATCAATACCTACCTACAGTATACCAAATCCAAATCAATCCCGAGTAATTTATTCTTAATATAGTACCTGTACACAACAAAGTTACTACAGTAAAACTTGATCACCAATTTATCCACTTTCCACCTGATGTCATTTCTTCATGATCTGTTGCAGCCTCTCCTCAGTTTCTTTTCCCAGGGGTAATTTCTTACAACTTCTTTCCCCATGTCATTACTGGCCTACCCCTGGCTCTCAATCGCCTCCACATTCAAACTCGTACAACTAGACTCGGTTGGCCTCTTCGATTCTCTATGTGCCCAAATTACCCGAGCCTAGTTCTACATAAAATCTACTCTCAGTATCTAACTGCTCTCTTAGCTCTGACCAGGGTTTCCAATCTTCCAATACCATATCACATTTACTTAGCTTTACACAAGAATATATACCACCACGACCTATTCCTGAAGCCTATCTACCACAGCACTGAAGGTGTACAATACAGAACGTAAAAACTAATGTAACAAGACAAGAGAATTCAGGGCACAGTACTGTATCTAGGCTGTACAATGAGCAGTATGGTAAGTAATACGGTGGAGATCTTTGCAGGGAAGAGTAATGGAGACGGCTTTGTAAGAACTTTGCATGGGAGGATAGTTATGAAGTAGGCTTTGCATGGGGGTATGGCATGGAGATGTACTGTACCATGCAGAATATACTGCAGAATGTATGGAAAGGAACCCAACCTGGACTACAGCCTAGATATCATGGGGATTGAAGCATGGGGGTAATAGACTTCACCTTTTTAATTTGCACACATTTAACTTTTCCAGATATGATCAGTGCTAAATAAAGTTGACATTATGATTGCAATACTGTCAATTTTATTTTTGCTAAGAAGACTATGGTATTTCCCCTTGAACCCTTAATAATAAACACACAAAAAGGGTTTATTTGATGAAGAACATAGGATTGTCTCTACATATATAAAGCATTTGATTACTATTTTTATAATAAACAAAGTACTGTATGGCACAAAATATTGCCATTCCAAAAAGCAGGAAAGCTAGGGAGATGACTCACAGTGCCCCCTAACATGACAGATAAAGCATGTGGAGTGTATCAAGGTGTGTCATGGTCATAGTAACCAAGTTCATCTCTGGACAGACCAGATAGTACAGTACTCCTTTACTACCAACCACCTCACCTGTACTTTAAATAGCTCTTGGCAGTACTACCATCACACCAATGCCAGATTTTTTTTTCTTGGGTGCGTGTGACTTAAATGATCAAGCTTTTCCATCAAATGAGGTCCACAGTCTGTGATTAGCTTGTACCATAAGATCTTCACAGATGATATACAGTATTTGTAACAGGGGTAAGCTTTTATAATTGACTTAACTATTGTAACGGTACGAGTTACAATTAATTCCCTACTTATCTTACTTATATTAGTGAATGAAGTGTATCATCAATTCTTTAATGAACAATGTTAACATCCTCATTAATTGTTCTGTCTTGAGGGATAAGAGAACAAAATTGTTACTTGTCCAGCATTTGTGGTGGAACTCCAGTAAGTTATTAACTTACTATATATAGGTCAGGGGAAGTTAACTTATTCTTATTTTATTAAGACACAGGCCAATAGTTGAGTCTACAGGTATGTCATGTCCCCACAGTTAGCTATTACAGTACCATGAAAGGACAGCCTCACTCGTACAATTACCAGGATTAACACTTATGGACTGCCCTTGTCAACCTACACTGCTGCTACCTCACGGCTTTTTAATTCCTCACCTTACACACACCCAGATTGCACTCCAACTCAGTTTTTCTGAGAATGCTCACCCAAAATTAACTGTTATTTCACCGTCCAATCACCAGATCTTTCCAAACCTCATAGGACTGCTCTTTCTGCATTAGGACCTGAGTGACACAGAAGGGATGGTGTCTATCTAAAGAGAGGATTTCATGTGACTACAAAAAGTGTGTGGCAATTATATTAAAGAGAAACAGACAGACAGACACCCCAGAGACAGAAAAAAATTGACAGAGAAAGAAAGACTTGCTATACACTCAAGGAAGACTTCTTTTTGGATTCAATAACTATGTAAAAGTTGGTAACATTTTGTTTTTAAAACGAACGAACGTACGTACGCACACGTGTGTGTGTCTGTGTGTGTGTGTGTGTGTCACATCTGCCACTGACGACTTTAAGAGCTTTGTTGATACGGCAGAAGCACTGTCCTGAAATACTATACAGTTCCCACAATGGTTGAAACAAGACTGTAGGAGGTGGTGGGTTACAAAGACAAAAAAAGGCTATAGCTGTAATATTTCTGCAGCAAAGGAAGAAATATAATGTAGGTTGTGGCGTGAAATAGGGTAGCGTCAGTGTGCTGCGGGTCGCCGGTGACGCTACGTTGAGGTTGGCTCCCGTCCAACTTGAACCCGCCTTCTCTCGCAACAAAATTTACCATCTCGTTCTTACCAAGATGGGCATCTATGTCTTCCGATTCAACTTCTGTCACCTAGGTAGAGAGTTCCTCCGTATACTCCAGAACATATTACCTGTACCTACTAATTGGTCACTTTCGTCGTATTAACTCATCTCCTTTAGTTGATAATCATTCTTCCCTTTCTCTTCACCAAATGTTGCTTCACTTACTCTCTTCTACAGGTACATTAACGGGCAATGTTCGCTGGATTTGGCATCCTGTGTACCGCCGGCAAGGCAGTGGACTCGTAACACACGTCTTGCCCGCGGTGCCCACCGTTTCTCTGTGGATGTCGGACACACTAGAATAACCCGTTATAGTGCATCCTTTTTTGCTCACACAAACTGAGGAATGCTCTGCCTTGTTCTGTTTCCATACTCATACAATCTGTCTCGCTTAAAAAAGCTGGTTTTCCGGCAGCTTCGTGGTGTATATTAATATAACCATTTTCTTTTCTATTTTTTTTCGCCCCCTAGGTCCCGTTGTGGGTCGTTCAACCTGTTTCCGGGTGGGCTAATTCCCGTAAAAAAAAAGTGGGGTGGTTTTACGATTAACAAGAAATATTTAACTCGAAAAATCTTATCCAAGTTAGGAAACGATGTTACCGAAAATTTATAATCAATACTTTACTATTGTATTGTTACTACTGTGTGTGTGTGTGTGTGTGTGTGTCTCGGTACGCTAGTCATAAGACCATAAGGAGCCTGCAATAGGCCGGTTGGCCTGTGCATGACAGCTCCTGTCGAGAGTTACTACCACTCTATCGTTCATGAATTTATCTAGCCTCCTTTTAAAGCTTTCCTGCATTCCAGCACTTACTACAAAGTTGCTTGTTCCACTCGTCCACCACCCTATTTGTGAACCAGTTCCTTCTTATCTCCCTCCTAAACATAAACTTATCCAACTTAAATCCGTTGCTAGGAGTCCTATCCTGCTCGGATATTATAAGAACTTTATCTATATCTCCTTTATTGATTCATTTCACCCACTGAAATACTTCTTTCATATCTCCCCGCACTCTTCGTCTTTCTAGGGAATGCAAATTTAGTTTCTTCAACCTATCTTGATATGGAAGGTTTCTAAGTCATATTGAGCCTTAAAATGTAATTACTATACTGTAACATCATATACGGTACGGTAAACTTTGATGAAAAATAATTCATGTATAAAATTTGCTAATGGATTTACAATGTCGTTAATTATCAAATAACCAAATTATAGTAAACTTAGATAAATTAGTAATGGTGTATTAAATTGTAGTTCGTATTATGATTATCTACAAGATCGTCCGTAACTATAAAAAAATGGGGGGACTGTGCTGAAACTTTCTCGGGTATTATTTAGTGTCATAAAAAAGGTGTGCTAGTTTAAAGGTAATAATATCAGTGGCCAGACAGGCACCAGTTCAGTTACACCCAAAACAAACTACAGTATTGCCAACTACTATCAAAGGACACTCATCTCGTTTCATGCTGGAAAAATACTGCATCTTGAGCTTCAGTGGTCCCTTAACTTGTACCCAGAAGACAAGAAAAATGGATTTGGTGATATAGAGGGATGATTAACGCAAACGGACGAGGGTACGTACACAAAGAAATATCAAAATAATAATGTTTACACCAAATGTAGTCATGGAAAAAATGTGTGTCAGTCCTTCGTCCCTTACATGAACCTGTTCAGGAGTCTCACGCAGGACGACTCAGGACTTTTTTTTTCATGACTGTACGTATAAAGCCAACAGATATGCACATTAAAGTCTCCCTTCGATAATGATACAGAAATCTGAAGCCTCATACTGGAAATGTTAAGCACATGACTTACAATACAATATACAGTGAAGACATGGATCAGCTGTAGCCACACAACACACTCGCCAGTCAGCTGAGTTGTCGCAACATTGATCCCTCACTCGCCCACCCTCCCTCCCCCTTCTCCGCCTTGACCTCACCACCACACCCTGCCTCCAGTCCCCCACCCCCCCAACCTCCTTCCACACCGTACCATCCACCAACCCCCTCTACACCCCTCCACACCACACCCTCCCACCCCTCCACACCACATCCCACACTCCTTCCCCCTCCCACCCCCCACCTCACCGGCACCACCTTCACAGTAACCGGCTCACACCACCACGGTCCACCACTGTAGAATCCTGACTCATCAGTTCTAGGAAAGTGCACACAATGCTTGCCTGCCTCTACCAATGCTTATGCTCCCACTCTCTCATTCTGTCCCGCCACAACTTCTCTCTCATGCTCCGCCACACCATTATTAGTCTCACTCTCATGTGCTCTACC